TGCTGCAAAAGACCTCTTTAAAGTGTTAAAAAGCAAAGATGTCACTTTGAGGACTAAGGTGCACCTGACCCAAGCCATGGTATTTTCAATTGCCTCATATGCATGTGAAAGCTGGCAATGAATAAGGAAGACCAAAGAAGAATTGATGCCTTTCATTTATGGTGTTGGTGAAGAATATTGAATATACCATAGACTGCCAGAAGAATGAAAAAGTCTGTCTTGGAAGAAGTACAGCCAGAGTACTCCTTGGAAGCAAGGATGGTGAGACTTCGTCTCATGTACTTTGGACATGTTATCAGGAGGGACTAGTCCTTGGAGAAGGACATCATGCTTGGTAAAGTAGAGGGTCAGTGAAAAAGAGGAAGAGCCTTGATGAGGTGGATTGACACAGTGGCTGCAACAATGGGCTCAAACATAACAATTGTAAGGATGGGCAGTGTTTCATTTTGTTGTACATGGGGTTGCTATGAATCAGAACTGACTCAATGGCACGTAACAATAACCCCAACAAACCTCCTATGCTTTCCAGAGGACCCAGCTGCACAGTGTTTTCCTTTCTGAGACCTTTCTAAATGTCCCTGCTGACCTTCCCCAGGCAGCTCTTTGTCACCCTGTCCCCATGTCTGGAGCATACCTTCCTCTGGCTCCTTGCTCTGTGGCACCTCTCCCAAATTAAGTGTGCCCTCTGGAAGCCCCGATCACCTTCTGCTCCCTTAGGGATGCTCTGTGGGACCAGAAGGTATCCTGCACTGAGTAGGCACTTCATAAACATTGATGCATTTAGCTGCAGGTGTGGGCATCCCTGGGGGCCTGAAGCTGGGTACTGGAGGCAATGGGGAGTGGCCACTGAGAAGGCATCATCTGATGCTAGGCGTGTCTCTGTGGGCAGCTGGGCTCAAGAGAAAGCGTTCTCTGGCCACAAGGCAAGTTGGGGTGCAGCCTGTACAGCAGGCACTGAGGGCTGTGGGACACAGTGGGCCTGAATTGGTGTTTGATCTGGGGCCAAGGGAGCCATAGCAGGGGTTCTAGGAGGAGAAGGGAAAAAGTCAAAGCAGAGACAGAAAGTGTAGGGGGTGGAAGCTTTCACAACAGGGAAGTCTCCCTTCTCCCAGTGTTGCTGGGGCTGTGGCCAGCATTGCTCCATGTGTCCTAACAACTATCAAAGTCATCTGAATCAAAACAGTGACATTTCTGAATGTCTTTGACTTTTCCACCTACAGTGCGGAAGCCTTTTCCGCCCGTTTAGGTACCTCTTCCTGGTCCGGTTCTGGCCCTGCCTCTGCCCAGTTCTGGTTCTTGCCCTGCCCGGTTCTGGTCCTGCCATCTGCCCAGTTCTGGTTCTGGCCCTGCCCTCTGCCTGGTTCTGGTCCTGCCCTCTGCCTGGTTCTGGTCCTGCCCTCTGCCTGGTTCTGGTCCTGCCATCTGCCTAGTTCTGGTTGTAGCTCTGCCCTCTGCCCAGTTGTGGTCCTGCCCTCTACTCGGTTCTGGTTCTGGCCCTGCCCTCTGCCCAGTTCTGGTTCTGGCCCTGCTCTCTGTCTTGGTCTTGCCCACCACCCTACTAAGGTCTTTTTTTTTTTTTTTTTTTTTTTAAAAATTGTTGTAAAATAGATATGACATCATATTTGCCATTTTATCCATTTTTAAGTGTACAATTCAGTGGCATTAATTACATGCACAATAAAAGTTTTTAAATAGCAAAAAATATCCCGTTACAGAAGACATCTCTAAAGCATTAACTGATCAATATGTTTGGTTACTCGATTTCCCATACCCAGAATTGGGACTTATGATGTGACAACGGCAGAGAATCCTTGAGATCGCAACTATCCTAGAAAACCCAGGATGTCTATTTTCCGTATATCTATCACTCACTTCTGAAATGGATCCATTCCTTGATTTTTCTTCTTCTTTTTTTCTTTTTTAATTGTGCTTTAGGTAAAAGTTTATAGCTCAAGTTAATTTCTCATTCAAAAATTTATACATATATTGGTTTGTGACCTTAGTTGCAATCCCCATAATGTGACAGCACACTCCCCCTTTCTACCCTGAGTTCTCTGTGTCCATTCGACCAGTTCCTGTCTGGTCCTTCCTTCTCATCCTACTTTTGGACAGGAGCTACCCATTTGGTCTCA